AAAAAGTGGCATTTATGTGGAGGTCATTGTCCTATATTTTTCTCAAGGTAATCTGGCAATTCTTATGCCTGTAGGAAGTGAGTGCATTGGAATGTGAGATTCAGCTACTGAAGAACCTTCAGCACGAGCGGATTGTTCAGTATTATGGATGTTTAAGAGACCGAGCAGAAAAGACCCTGAGCATTTTCATGGAGTACATGCCAGGGGTAAGAGATCTATAGATTCTTTAGAAAGTAGTTTTAATCCATCTCAGATTTCAGTTTGTTAGAAAGCCAGTTTTGTGTAATGATTAAAAGCACCTGGCTAGAAACCTAGAAACAATAAGTTCTGGTTCTGCCTTGTGCTCAAAGCCAACTGGTGACTTTGGGCCAGTCATTCTTGTTCTAAGAAACAAGCAATAGCCAAAAATCTTGCTAAGAGCACTAGGTGAATTAGACACCAGGCAGTCACTAGGAATCAAAACTGACTTGGAGGCACAAAAATATAGATGTGAGATATATGTGTGTGTGTGCGTGTGTCTGTGTCTGTGTGTATGTGTATGTATATATAAATAAAATGTTTCCTGCTTTTCCTATGAAGGGTTCTGTCAAGGATCAGCTGAAAGCCTATGGTGCACTAACGGAAAATGTTACTCGAAAATACACTCGGCAGATTCTTGAAGGAGTCTGTTATCTTCACAGCAACATGATTGTACACAGAGATATTAAAGGTAAGAGATCCACCCAAATCCACATGAGTTCGTATTTTCTTTATGTTCTGTTATGCTTATTTACATCATAGATGAGAGGAAATAAATATTGGCTGTGTTTTCAAGGTAGCATTACTATCGGTATCCTGATACTATTCAATAAATGAGCAAATGCTATTAATAATAGATTAGATGCTATTGAATTCATGAGCATATAATTCTCCCCAGAATTTGTTTTCTGATATACTTGAAAAATCATGAATTGGCATTATAAAATAACTTGGTTTTACTTATGGGGAAAATGACAACTATATATTCTGCAGTATTATAAAGAAATGACAAATAGAAGACATATTGACTAGATCAAGGAACAGTGCAAGAATTGTGACAAGATAGAACATGTTATATTATGAATGCAATAAGGAATAAAACATCTTTTCCTCTTGTATCTTTATTAGTCAAAATCCTCCACTCTTTACCCAGTCACTGTTCTTTGTTTCCAAAAGTATAGTTTGCAATGAATAGTATCTGTAGGGCAAATAATAGCATAACATATTGGTTTCACTTGGAAAACTACAGGAGGCATTATTTTTCATATTATAGTCTCAAACTAGATTTGGAGATATTAAAAATGTCAGGTTTAAAGTGTAACAAGTAACTCCCTTGGTATATTACTCATCTGACATTTTAATTTTTTTTTTAGAGGATAGGAACATAGTTACGGTTGGAAAATAAAAATGGTTCACAATTGCAGTCTGCAGGAAAAAAAAAGACAAAATCAAGCTGGAGCATTGGCAAGGAGCATGTGGAAAGAGGGAAAGGGGTCTAAAGAATATGGTAGAGACCATCTCATCGGCTTTCCTTAGTGTTTCGGGACTGGCTACAATAGTCACTGCAGCTATGCAGTGGAACTATGAATGTTGTGTATTTTAAATTGTTGTTTGTCTATTTGTCTATTTACCCCCTTCCTTTGTTATTGCAAGACGCCCGGAGTCCTTCGGGAGTGGGCGGCATACAAGACCAATAAAACTAAACTAAAACTAAACTAAACTATTTTATGATTAGCTAAGTTAAACCTTCAGGGAGACATTTTGTTGAAGTAAACACCAACATTTAAGGATGAAATATTTCCAATAATTTAAAAAGATTGTTTATGCAATGTGATGTTCTGTGGGTCAGAGTATGCAGTAATGGACTGAGAAAATGGTGGTTTAGATGTATCTTTAAAAAGAAGCACCTTCATCTTTAGAATTTAACATTGGAAGGTGGCTGCAGTGACAAAATAATTTGCTTGGACCTCAAGTCATTTTAAACTAGGTTCTAGCTATGATGGTTTATAAATCTATACTTTGAGTTGTATACTTGAGCAGCTTCTATTTCTTTTCTTTTTCTCTGTCTCTACACTCACTTCAACTCAGGAGCCAATATTCTCAGAGATTCTGTGGGCAACGTGAAGCTTGGAGATTTTGGGGCTAGCAAGCGGCTGCAGACAATCTGCATGTCTGGGACTGGTATCCGCTCTGTCATGGGAACTCCTTATTGGATGAGTCCAGAAGTGATCAGTGGAGAGGGCTATGGAAGAAAAGCTGACATCTGGTGAGAAATAGCTTCATGCAGCTTGCTTAATGTAAAGAATTACTTTCTAGAAAAGGAATTTTCTGCTGCAACCATTTGGCATTTTATTAATCTTTTTTTCCCTGTAAACTGTAATGAATTCAACAGGCTAATTTATTGTTCTCCCCTCCCCTTTTTCCCTCCTCTTTTCCCCATTACTTTTCAATGCTCTGTGTTCCTGGATGTTGCTTTGGTTTTCTGCACAACTTAGGTTCCTTTTGAAATAGTTCAGAAATCATCCAAGCATGCAGGTGCCTCTCTTCTCTGCCTCTGCGTTTTGCGAAGAAAAGATTTATAAATGTGGCAATCTCATCAGTGAGCATTGCCAAAAAGAAGCAGGACTGCCTGTAATCGTAGGTTGCCCATCATAAAATGTATTTTTATATAGTCTTTTAATCCGAAAGCCTGCAAGCTTTCTAGCATAGCCTATTTGTATTTCTTCCATTGGATTCAATTGATTGTGGACAGATGCTTTAAAACACTTCAATATAACCTGCTAAATTGTGATGTGTTGAAATACAGTTTCTGTATTCACTGATCAAACATGGCACACAAGCTTGTCGTTATCATAAGGCATCTGCAACTGAAGAATAACAAGCTCTAATTAACTTTTTTTTCAGTCAGAGATTAGGACATAATGGGTCCTAATTTGTTAAAGTAAACACCACCATTCAAGGATCTAATATTTCATTAGGCTAAAAGGATTAGTTATGTAATGTGGTATGCTATGGATCATATTTTTACAGAAGAAGTGAATAAATCAATTCTTGCAAGTTGGTGTGCTTTTAATAAAAGAGTATATTAGGAATGTCTTTCCTGGGAAGCAGTTTTTCTCAGGGTTTAGATAAGTTCTTTTGACAAAGAATAAATTTTAAAAACAGCTTCATAACACAATGTGAACTCAGATATGTATTTGTACTATTGAATAGCATTTGTTTACAGCATCTTTACAAGGTTATTTTTTTTAAGATAAAGTAATTTAGAAGATAAATCGCTTTTATTGATCTGTGTTGTTAGAATGATTCATTCATAAAAAAATTTATTCAAGAAGGCTTGCATTATTGGTCTGTATTTATACTTTTCTGGAAACAAGCTGCCATATGAAATGTTTCAGTTCATTTCATTGTGACCAGCACTTCTGAATCTGTTTACTTCTGCTTCTGTAACAAACACCGTTCTTGTGCCTCCTTTGGTTTTACTGACTGTAGTCTTAACTTTTCATCAGGGTCTTTTTCTTCCTCCCCTATTTTTTTCCTTCAGGATTTCATTTAGTTACACACTCAAGCATCTTCAGCACATATCTTTATTTATGTTTTAAGATCAAATATTTTTTTTGTAAAATACAGTTAAACTCTATGAGTCTGTCCCATTCTAAAATGTTAAATAGCCTGTTGTCATGTTTTCAAAATAGCACAACACAAGTTAACTATCACGAGAATTATGTAATACTTTGCATTTGAAAGTAGCAAAATAGTTTAATTTTCTTCCAATTTGTCTGGATAATCCAGCAGCATGGGGCTAATGTATTTTAAATGCAAGTCCCTCTAGGAAAGACAATATAATAAAATGAGGTTTATTGTTTCAGTTTTTCCCAATTCTCATTGGCAAGCTCTCTTGTCCAGGGAAATTTTAAAATATTTATCTTTTAAAAATGCAAGTGGAAAACATTGTTGTAAATAATTTTCCTTATAGGTCTGGAACGATGAGTGTGAATAGTTTGCTGGTTCCAGGTAAAGCTTTCTGTGATAGTCCTGTTTACTTCATTTTACTGTTCTATATCCTTGACTCTTTGCAGGAGATATTGATTAGCCAAGTCCTACTCTAGAGAAGTAAGCAACTCTTCAAAAGTACATATGATAGCTACTTCATATCATTGTTGGCTTTCCATTTTCAGAAATGTCTGTTTGCCAAAACTAACAGGACAAAACCTGAAAGGAACCAATGGAACTTGAGCTAACAGGTGTCTGTTTCCACTGCCCTTCTAGGCATTCTGTTGTGTAGTCTAGCTGCCTAGGATATACATCAAGGAGCAGAAAGAATATCCTTTAGTTGCACTGTCTCGGTTTTCTTTTGTATTCATGTAAACCCCATAAAGAAATGGGGCTCACTGTTTTGCTGAAAGCGATTTAAAATTGCTGAGATCAATTTTCCTCCTTTGGAGAAGATTTTTAATAGTCATTTTAATAATTTAATAGCTATTGAGGCTTAGCCTTTGAACCATTGAAGCTTAATAGCCATTGAGGATCCAAATATTCTTTACGTAACAAAATTTAAAAAAAAGATCAGAGCCTTCAGATCTTTATATGGTGAAAAATTATTCCTAATATTTGAAGTTCTGGACCTGCTGGATTTTGTTTCTTTCAGTAATCCATCTCCATAGCTTTACTGTGCTATAATTTCTCATTTTTCAAAAAATTAATACCTAGTAATGCAATCTCCCTTCAATATTGGACCATAGCTTTTACGCTTTTTAAAAGCTAATTAGAATATATGAATTAATTACTTCATCAGTATATAGCAAGATGGGAGCATTGAGGCCTGCAAGTGAGGGACAGTGAAAATCTGGTTTATCTAAGGCTTCAGTTAATATAGACGTTGAGAGGTGTCAAAGTGCATCCAGTCTTAAACACTTTCAGGATAGGTATTTATTTTGAAATAACTGTTATGGGTTACGTTTCACAGTGAGTGTTAGCATGGATGAGCAAATATTTATTTAGTTTATTTATAAACAAGATTATATAACTGCCCCTCTCACTGAAGGTGGCTCTGGGAGCACAACAAACAGGTAAAACTACATACAAAATCACAAATATAAAAAATAAAAATCAAATAGCAATAATTACATAAAAAGAAATACAAAACCTGGGCAAACAGGGAATAAAAGCAATGAGCACAGCAAGGGAGTCATCTAAGCATGTCTCTGGTTCCTGGGAGCCCCAGGCCTGGTCAGATAGTCATGTATTGAGACCCTTTCAGAATATATATGGGTGGACCCAATTTAATTTTGGATAGGAATAATGTTTCATAAGGCAGGCACTGTGGCAGAGAAGGCACATCTCCAGGAGCCCACCATATGTAGGCCCTTAGCTGATTGTACCTGCAGCTTAGGCCTCCTAGCCACAACTGCCACCTGCTCATTGATCAGGGGTCATGAGTCTAGGTTGTCCAAGTTGCACATAAGATCTGTGTGTATGTAACACAATCCACTACCAAAGATGGCATAGTCCTTGAAACAATGGGCCCCAAAATCCAGCCATTCAGTCTTGCCAAACCACCCAGACCCTCACGATCTCCAAGCATTAGGATATGAATTCACAGCTTCACTTTATTTGCCAGGGGTGGAGATACAGAATTGTGTATCATATGTATACTGATGATATCTCAGCCAGTGGGATGGATGAGTTCACTCAGCAACCACACATAGATGTTTATGAGGGAGAGGAGAAAATATCAAACCCTATGGCATCCTACAAAACAGAGGCTGAGGTAGGGACCTCGCCTTCCCAATCATCACCAGTTGGAACCAACCCAGAAGGAAAGAGGCGAACAACATGCCCTCACCCCAAATCCTCTGAACTGACCCAGAAGGATATCATGGTTAGTGGTATCAAAAGCTGCAAAGAGTTCAAGTAGGTTGTGGATACCTGCTTGATCCCATAGATCCCATCTAAGCCAGAAGTCATTCAAAAATGCAAGCAGTGCTGTTTTCGTCCATACCCAGATCTTAATCATGACTGAAAGGGATGTAAATTCACTTCTTCCACGGTCTTCTGAAGCTGCAGCACAACTACCTTTCCCCCAAAATAGAAGCAATATACTGAATGCAAATTGTCCGGAATGGTAGCGTTCAGCAATTGCTTCTTGAAGAAGGGGTGAATCTAAAAGATAAAAGAACAATCCCTTCCCTCAAGAATTAATCATTGCCACAGCCCATTCACACAGCACCTTATCTCTAGGCCGCTTTAACAAGCCAGAATAGGCATGGATCTAAAGATTGGGGGGGGAGGGATCTACTAATAGTCCCGAGGCTCCTGTCTACTTCCTCAGGTCCAATAAGTTGTTTGTTTATTAAATGTGTATGCTACCCATCTTATCTAGAGATGATTCTAGGCAGCTTATAACAAAATACAAGCAGCAAGATAAAACATTAAAATAGTTTTTAAAATATTAACATTAAAATTGACAGAATTAACAAAGATGGCAAGAAAGGGAGCAAGATACACATATAGGGTAGAAAAGAGTATTATCTTTATCCATTAACCACTTCCAATATAACACTCCCCAATCGGGGTCTGGGGCCAATTTGCAGAGCCAGGTTTTCAGATCCTTTCAGAAAGCCAAAAGGGTGGGATCAGATCTCACCTCAGGGAGCGTAATGTTCCAGAGGGCAGGAGCCATAGCAGGAAAGATTCTTCTCCTGGGCCCTGCTAGCAAAATTCCCCTTCTACTGCCACAGATGAGGTGGGCCAATCCCAATTTTATTGGAATCCTTCTATATACTTTTATTGGCACAGGTGAGGGGACCCAATTCCAATTTCATGGGATAACTTTGAACCATTAGTGCTTTCTTACTTGGTTTCTGGAAATGCTAGCAACACAGTATAGATGTATATACATGGATATTGATACATTCAGTCTGAATTTCGTGTAATTAATTCAGTGAGTGCTAGTGCTTTTTTAGTTTTCAGAGAATCAAGAAATTTGATAGCTTCTGTTATACTTACTACTGGCCAAATAAGGAGAAGGAATCATTGTCCAATTCCTTAGTAGATGCTTCAGGATTGAAGAATGTACTCAAAAATATTCCACCCACCTTCATATTGGAACAGCGCTTATGCTAACTACCCAAAAATAGTTCAGCACATCCCGGCATAATGCAGATTATGCTGCCCGAATCCCTGGCTGGAAGTAACATATTGAAGTCTTATTCTTGGTTATGATCCTCCAAGATCTCAGCAGAAGTTCAAATCTCCCTCATTGGAGATTTTCTCTTTGCCAGTTGGTTTTTTGTTTTAGTAGTAAACTATATAACAAGTTAAATCATGCTACAGTTCAGGAAAAAAAATTGATGCCTTATATCCATTTTTAGCTTTTAGTATCTGAACTTAACACTTTACATCACCATTCCAAAATGTTGAATGATTTCATTCCTATTCAATTTTGCAGCACTAAAAAGGAAGCCAAACTTGGTTGTTTGAAAGAACATCTGCTCCTTTCCTCAGTTCCGCAACACAGACCTGTAGTCCCAAGAGAATTAATCATTGGTGTGGCAGTGGTATTTGTTCATCTCAGAATCTTTTACACAGATGATTGGCTTCAGGTTCACTCTGTTTTTACAAACAACATTTTCACATCTTACACTTCTTTCTCTACCCTGGGTTTCTCTGTAAATTGGGGGCAGGTTCAACTTCTGTTCCATATAATACCCCCTTTTATAGAAGTGATATTGGATTCATTATGTTGCCAGACATTGTCACCCAAGGACAGAATAAAGATAAAGAATAAAGGTAGCCATACATCTTGCATGCTGCTGCTAATTCATAGACTGAATGAAATGTCTTCTGAATCCCATGGCTTTGATTGACCTCTATGTGTCAAACTCTCCCCAGTAAATCCCAGATATTAGAATTAGGTGACCGAATTGTACTTTATTTTAAGGCTTCATCAGTAGAATCTTAAAAGTGATTGTACTGATCTCCTGCCATTCTTTTTACAGCCTGACTAGTTAGATAGGTTCCCTTATGAGTTTCTTTCTTTGTCATTATGCAGCTATGGGCTGTACCAGGAGTCCCCAGCACCCAGGCCACAGCCTTTTAGTGGGTCTTGAGCCATTCAGAAGCAGTGGCGGGAGAGCATGTGCCCGCATTCCTACATGCACAAGTGCAGGCGCACACATTCCACTTGCACAAGCAGATGGGGGAACTCTGGCCTATACCATGATTTTTCTGATTATTCCTTAGACAGTATTTCTTTTCCCATATCCCAAGGTAATTACTATATAGCACTAATCTGATTGCTTTCATATTATCTTTATATATGACTTCAAGTACTGATTTGTCAAGATCTTCATTATCTCTCAAATCTGATCAGATATCACTTCTTGTTCCCTGACTCCTGTGATGGATGTATCATAGTAAACACATGAATCTGAATCCACAAAATATTCAAAAGTATTTATAATTACAGATAAGCAGCCTGCAGATTCATGGAGATATCAAAATTACTCTGGAATTATGCAGAGATTTTTACCACCTCTGTGTGCCATTTCATGAATACTGTTATACCCTATCTCAGTTTTTTAAAGACTAAACTTCAATTTTTTTGTACATGCTACAATAATAATAATGGAACAGAATTAGAATAGAAATAGAAATAGGACCAGGACTGGGAGGATAGGATAGGATAGATAGAAGAATAGAATAAAATAGCTTATTGGCATTCAAAGCAACAGATAATAATAATCATATTAATGATACCAATAGGAGAGAGTAGTAAAAAACTTGGGAAGGATAATAATAGTAGTACTGTCATACAAGATGGGTAAATATACTTAGGTAAATAGCATTGTGAGAATTAGGTGTTCATCAGAATGAAGGCATGAGGTGAAAAAACTGGCCCTGTGTCTAGTTGTTTTGGCATGTGATGCCCTATTGGTGGTGGGGGGGGGAGAGAAGGGTCTAGATACTTTAGTCCTCCTTCTGACCTATATATAGGTCGTCTATGGAAGGCAGAGTGGTTGCACTTGTTATTTTCTGCTGGAGTCTGTAATGGGTTAAATGCTGTTATGAGAAAATAAAAACAGATAGTTAAGAGGTACTGTTAGTCCTCTCTCAGTTTTTAGTATTTTTTCATATTGTAATAATGATTATAGTGAGTTACAAAGAGACTTTTCACCAGGTGACTTTGAACTCTTTTTCCTCTGTTTTCTCCTCCCAGGAGCCTTGCCTGTACTGTTGTGGAAATGTTAACAGAGAAACCACCCTGGGCAGAATATGAAGCTATGGCAGCCATTTTCAAGATTGCTACACAACCTACTAACCCCCAGCTTCCTTCTCATATATCAGAACCTTGCCGGGCCTTCTTAAGACAGATCTTTGTGGAAGCCAGGAAGAGACCTTCAGCCGAAGAGCTGCTCCAGCATCATTTTGCCCAACTCTCCTACTGAATTATCATCTTTGGAATAGCATTCCATTTTTAGATGATACCGTTGTCTGAAGTGTTGTAGTCTATATCAGAGAATCCATTCCAGAATGCTGCCAGATAAACATTCTGTTTGCCTAGTAAGATAGTGTGCAGGGGCAATGCAAAAGTCAGCCAATTTAATTTTGGTATCTTCATTTTGAGGGATTGAGGCTTTCCTCTGTCACTACCCATGTGCTGACATGGTATTTGGCATGTGGCTAGGAACAATCTCAAATGCTTCATTTGAATATAGATCTATCTCTGAAACTTGTGAAAATGAAAAAGGAGGAAATGGACTCTGAGAACTACTAACTACTACAAAAATGTGTATTGGGCTCTTATTATCACTCTGTTTTACAGCTTTTCAGGTTGCAGGGTGTTATTTCTACTTCTCTTTAACCTACAATGTTCCTGAGTGATGAGAATGGAGGAGGGGATTCCCATGGATCAAAAGTACAATGGAATCTAGTTGGAATAAAGGTTCCCTGTATGATATAAGGAAACCGAGTTCCATTCTGGCAGGGCTGTCTAAAGGTGTAATGCAGAACTATGTGTTCTGTGTCTATGCGGTAATCACGGGCTAACACAATTTTTGTCTAGCAAAAAAAAAAATCAGTATTGTGCAGCTCGACACTTCTATTTTTTTAAAAGCACTGTCTAGTCTTTATGACATCAGAGAAATTAGGAATTCCTATGGGAGATATTAAGAATTTGTAGAAATTAAAGGAAGCTGAGCAAGGCATAGTGCTCCTTCTATGAATATCAAAAGTCAGAAAATAAAATGAGGAATATACATGGAATTTTACATTATTTGCAGAATTTATCCAGATTATAGAATGTGCCATTTTATGGACTGTGTTGCACAGGATATCATGCAATGAATAAATTGTGGCAAGAGGACTATTGTGAGAAAGCATGGTATTAATGTGCTGCCTTTAGATTGTTGTTAGTTGATAAGATAACAAATTCCCTTCTGTAGTGTTATACAGAGTTAGGATATTATGCTACAGTTAAAATTGCTATGAAAATATCTTAATCACTTTGAGAAATTCAGTCTCATATACCTCCATTGGTAGCTTTGTCCATCCAAATCCCTTTCACAGGATAATCTCCCCTCCTCAAATTTCTAACCAAAGATTATTTCATTGTTGCCAAGATTATTCTTCAAAGAGAGGCAAAATATTACTGCTGAGCCTAACACGATTGTTCATACTGAACAGAACTACCTTTTCCAGGTGCTTGTAATGGAAAAATTGGGGCATGGAGAAGTGATACTGCTCATCTGTCTTTATTCATTCTGGGTTTTCTGTATGCTTTTTTGATCTTTAAAAGAATAGCTTCTAAGGTTTGAGACCATGTTTTCCCACAGTTCTGCAGAGCTGCAGTTTGTTAATCTGGATTTTTCCAGAATTCTGATTTTTTTTTTCCTAAGAAACTTCATTTTTTTCAAGAGGCACTTCTATCAGATTTAGTTGAGTACAATCAGAGAGCTAACTTCTTGATCTCACAAATGTTTGGTTGCCAACAGCATACCTTTATTATATAAAATGTTGGATTAGAACCAGATACACTCAGACAGGACCTCTATGAGATCTATGAGTATCTCCGTTATCCATTACGTAGCAAATCATGTACACTCAAGGAGCGTTAGGACAGATGAAGGACGTGACCCTTACTGCTTTGCAAACAGCATTCTGCCACTTGTGACACTTCAGGTGTTTACTGTTAACCTTGCAAAGATATATTCATCTACCCTTGTTCTAGCCACGAACTTGTCAAGTGTTTGTGTCAATGCAAAACTGAGATTCAGTCTCATCTGTCACTTTATACAAAGTTGCCTGTGGTTGCTTGTAACAATATTGCAGTCTACCTACCTAGCCTCAGATGTTAAGGAAAGCAGGTGGGGGAGCCATGCTTTCAGTAGCACTTCTTTTAAAGCAGAATGCAATTAATATGCAGATAAAAGCAGTTCTTTTCTGCTGTTTCCAGCCTTGTAGCTGTGGCAACGGCCAGACCAACTATCTTGATGTGCTCAAGTTTTCTGTCATATTTACTAAAGAATGTCTATGGCTTTGTAACAAATAAAGTTATATAAAGTGTCTGTAAGGATGTAAAAATGCTACCATGATTTCCTTTTTTTACTTCATTTGCCAACATATCTATAGGTCTGGTTTGTTGCCTTAAAAACACATATATTCTTTTTCAAGATAACAGTGTTGAGTTACAGTATTTCCTTTGATTTTAACTAAATACCAGCAACAAGTTGATCCCTCATTTGTCTTTGAGAATATAATATGTTGCCTTGGCTCCTCGCTGGATGGATAAGCATAAGAAATAAGCCAAAGTGTTATTCATATGGTCAGCAGTGCACTTTTATAAATATATTTATATCACTTTCTTATTAAGCATTTTACTTCATGTAAAGAAATTATGATGTCTCATACTTTTTATTTATGCCATACTTGTTTATGTTTATGTGTACAGCAATTATTATGGAATGGGGTGGGAGAAATTGACATCTTTGTGAATTTTTAAAAAGGGGAAAGAAGCAGCTGGTTTTGCAAAGATTTTGATTACTGTTTATTACAAGATGTATCAGGTCAAAATACCTTTTTGTTTCCTTGCTAATTTTGGGGGGGGGGGAGAAAAGTAAGTGTAATAGAATAGAAATGGCAATTTGGAATAATAGAAAGCCACGAATTATATATATTAGAAATCATCAGTCTCATATGTTCCTGTTGATATAACACAGTCTTCTTTGAGCTTATTGCCATTTCTCCACAAAACAACTGCACTGTTTTGCAACAGTGAGGTTGTGCAGTTCCAGTGTAATCTCATTTTAAGATAGATTTCACAAGTTGGTCTCACAACTTTTGTATATCTATTTCTGTGGTATTTAAACCTCTTTTTTTAAAACAAACAAGAACTGGCTTATTATATACTGTGTTTACTTGCAGTAGAATGGTATATATGCATGCATGTATGTATGTATAGTGTGAATAGCATACAGATAATCTGAGAAAGAAGACTATGATGTGGGAAACAGTCTTTGCAATATCTGAATTGCTAACATTGATATACTGCTACTCAGTGCAATAAATTTGTCCCTGAAATTTCATCTGGATAATATTCACTGGAGTTCTACATCAAATAATTCAGGAGTGCTTACTTCTAGGTAAATGCATAAAGAATTATAGCCTTAAAAATGTCCCTTTTCTTTTGTAATTTGTCTTTTATGCCAACTATTTCCAGACTTTCATTATTTTTGCTTTATAAAAGCCCCCCTTAGGAATTTCTCTTGTGAACGCTTTATGGTCTCCTGAGGAATTCATCTTGCAGATTTGCTTTTGGAAGGTTTCTGATTCTCATCAGTGCAAATGAGAGACAGAGAAATGATATTTTGCTAATTCTTTCACAGAACTGTAATTATAAGCAAGGAAACAAAGATGGATTTAGGCTTGGTACGACGATTCTGTATACTCCAGCTTCACCAGCCACTTTTCTGCTAAACAGCATACATTTAAAATACCTATTGTATAGAAGCTATTGATTTCAGACAACATGTATCTTATTACCTTTCCTGAATTGCCTCCTTATATGTGGGCTAATTTAATATATGATTTGGAAGTTTGACAAATAGCAAAAAATATAGATTGTCTTGTTTGGTGATACATTTCTGCAAGATTTCACAGCTAATCTGAGATCCTCTTCATATCAGACCTTTGAATTTATACCTTTGAATGTGATAGTATGTCTGACTTTAAATTTACCCAAGAAATTATTGAGATTGGGTAATTAAGTATGCAGCCTTCTGTATATTTTACACTGCCAGTGCTAGAACATTTTTTTTAATTTAATTAAACTCAAACAGAGAGCTTTGTAGAACATTCTGTGATTTATCATTTGGACCTGGAGTATACAGAAGACCTTGAAGTACTTGTCTGTTTCTAATTTTTATGAATTTCTATAATGACTGAGGCTTGCAGTGCAAAGCCAGGCAAATGTGTAACTTTTATTTACAATAAAATATAATTTTCAGCTAGTTGTGTGTGCTACTACATCTTGTATTATTGAAGGTTTCTTGAAGTGGAAGCTTCAATAGCTCCGTTTTGCAAAAACACACTATGAATTCTCAACATAGCCATAGTGGGATAGTGAAAATTGTCTCACACTTTTTAAACTCAAATAAGTTATTTCATCAGATGTTCTCTTTGAAATCCACAATCAGGGAAGTGAAGCATGTGGCTGTGAATTGTGGGATTTGTTTAAATGTGAGAAAGGTACACTCAGCACTTTAAAAGATGCTTATCATCTTTCATACCCTGCTAGACACATTTTTCTGTATATTCTGGAATGTAGGCACCAAACACTAACTTTTATTAAGGAAGACATGTTTTAAAGCTGCTGAACATGCCATCTGACATGTTCTATATGAATTGTGTGTGATTCACCGCTTTTCTTCTAGCCAGTGATATTAACCTGGTTTTTTTTTAATGCATACAATGATGACTGGATTGTTCTCTCATGCAGAACATGTTTCTTGTTCAGCAAGAAATCTTTTGGAAACTGAAATAGAAGTTGCACATTTTCACCTCTCAAAACTTTCATAAACAACATCAAAGAGGAAAAGCTCAGAAAACCTATATTACAAAAATAAGACAGTGCAGCTCTGGACACAAACACCACAAGTGTACTTCAGCTTATCACGTACCACTGAAAAGGCAGATATAAAAGATAGACACTGAATTCTTCCCCAGAGTTTAAGGCTGAATGGATAGAACAGAGCTGATGAGAACTAGGATGCAGGGTCTGCAGACCCACATTCATCAGAGTTTTGGAGTAATATACATGCTTCTATAACTCTTAAACCAATTTTACCCCTAGGACTCTTAATGTGTAGGGTGTCTTATACACCTGTCTGAAATTCTAAAAGTTGTATTTTCTATTTCATTGTGTAGAATTTCTAAAGCTTGAATATATACATCTTTACCCTAGACATGTGTATGGAGTCTGCAGCAGAAGCACGCAGCCTCCCCATAAGAAAAGAGGTAACAATCTACGTTTAGGATGCTAAGTAAATTCACAGTCAGAATTCAATATGTTGCTGCCTATTTGCACAATTTGTTTATCCAAATGGCCAGATATTGGGAATAGATAATGCTTTGTCTCCTTAAAAACTAACTATAAAAAGAATATCTAAAAATTGGTTAAAGCCTGTTGGAATAGTTTCTTCTACTTGAACTTCAAAAGCAAGGAAACCAACATCCAGGTCAACCTGTTAGGATGCTGCTTGACTTGCTAAAAGGGTGACTGGTTGTGTCTTAACATGTTATATGGAATAACGTGTAGTCATAGCAGTGGTGGGATTCAAATAATTTAACCAGTTTTCTGCCCTATGATTTCTTCCAACAACCAGTTCACCTAACTGCTCAGAAAGTTAACAACTGGTTCTCCTGAAGTGGTGAGAACTGGCTGAATCCCACCATTGAGTCATAGACTTTTGACCAAGGAGATGTACAGGTGTGAAATATTACATTTACAGCTTGCTAGTCAAACTGTTTAGCTACAATCCTGGTTGCAATTCCATTACTAGTATGACCTGGTCCTTTTTATAGTATTAATATTCCTGCTTTTCCATGAGTAAAGCAAAATTTCCCATTTTCAACATGTCTGTAGTTTTTTGGATGCTTAATTCTTTCCACAGCCCATTAAAACTATGGTTCATTCCTGCTTAGTCTTTCCTGCTCCTAGCCATCTTGCAATTACCATTGCTCTCCATCAGCTCAGTTCATCCCCATATCAAAGATCTCAAAGTGGGGAACTATAGGCTATGGGTCATGCGGTATCTGTACCATTTTCCACCTCTTTCTGCAGCCAGAGTTGCTTGTGCTGCTTGCGCCCAAAACCTTCATCATAGTTGCCTTTGCTCTTGAACAGCTGCTGGTAATGTGGCTTGCAGTAGAATTCCCCGTGGAGAGCTGCATAACTACCCAAGCTGAATAGAAATAAGAACATGTTAGGGCTTACTAGGAAAGAGCTGAAAAATGGAAGAAAACTAGTATAATGGCAGTTATATTATGAAAACAAAGCTATGAGTTTACTGCTGTGTCCTTCCTGAGAATTTGCAACATAGCATCTTTCAGATTTTGCCATCGTGTACCAATAGGAGCATGAGACCTACCCCATAAAGGAAGCATAATTATTGTACTGTACTGAAGCAAAAAAGTTGTGAAGTCATTTAAATGTTTAAATGCCATAAGTGCTTGTGTTTCTTCAGAATGCAGAAAGATGCCTAATTTAGCCCTGTTTTTTCCACAATTCCTACTAAGCTTAGAAAATATTTGTTTGATGGAAGCTCTTCATCCAAATAGGTTTCTTGGCAACAGCACAGAACTATTTTGCCATTACTTTTTTCTGAGATAATTTTCAGCTTCAATTTCCGTTCAGATACAAAGCATGCCCCATCTCTGCTTAACCTTTTGAAGATCAGGTGAGATCATCTGCAAGTCGATTTTTTTCTTATAGTGAAGTCTCCTGATTCATTTGTTTTAACAGCTGACTGATAAAAGATTAATGTCTCTCTTCCTGTGGTTTAATGTTTAAAAGTGTTAAAAGCTGAAAAATTGGGAGCTTAGGGAATTTTGATATGATTGCCCTTCAACAGGAAAAAAGAACACTGCTCTGATTCAAGCCAACTATATTTTGCACAGTCTGGTAGCATTCAGTACATGGTAAAGAGGCTGAAAAAAAATATGAGATGTCATACCAAAGCAGAATCTATTATCAGTTCTTTATCAGGCTGCTAAATGGGGTGGATGGAATCATAATTAATGATGGCAATTGGGAATGATACAGGGTCAACAACCAGGAGATTGACCCACATATTTTCTTTGTATTGCTTCCTCCCCAAAGCAAAAAGGGAAATGTGCTCACTTTTCCCTTACCTTAGCTTGGTGTGGCAATGCTTACAGCAAAAGCAGTAGTTATGGAAGACAAATTTATCAGCCACCAGGCGCTCCATAGGATAGACAGTTTTCTGGCAGGCACTGCATGTCTCTTTCACCTGGGCCTTCATGCTGAATGACTGGATGACAAGAGTAAAAGGTGATGTTGGCGAAAGTAAGTTCCAGAAGAGGAAGCAGCAAGATAAAAAGAACAATGCACAATTACCAGTGATTTAATTATGAAGATACAATTTCAAAGCAATTTGAATACAGCATATTCAACTTGTTTGCCAAGCTTCCTAACTTTTATGTTTAGTTAATAGTAAATAAAAGCAGTCTTAAGAGGCACCCTGGTTTAACATTAAGTAATTTAATAGCTGAAATAATTGGTAATTTATGGAGAATGTTCCAAATCTAAAAGTGCAGGACACCGGAATTCAGAATGAAATATTTAATATTAGCAATAGCATTTGGACTTATATATCACTCTGCAGAGCTTTACAGCACTCTCTGAGTGGTTTACAGAGTCAGCATATTGCCCCCAACAATCTGGGTCATTTTACTGACCTCAGAAGGATGGAAGGCTGAGTGAACTTCAAGCCCTGTCAGGAGCAAACTCCTGGCGATGGGCAGAGGCAGCCTGAAATACTGCATTCCAACCACTGCACCATAATATTTATTTAGTAGAAACCAAAATGCTGTTGAAAATCATTTTAAAGGATTTATCACAAGTACAATCCTCAATCGTAATTTTCACGCATTGTGTTTTTTTAATTTAAAAACATATGAATATCCATGGTCTGAATTCAACTGGTATTTAGGGAAGTTCCTTTGAAATACATCTAAAAAGAGAGCTATCAACTTGCCTTTCAAAACAGGTTTAAAAATAATAAAGAGAATGATTACAAATTCTGCATAAAATGGAGTTTCAATGTCAGGGTGAATTATTTTATTGCTATTTTCATATGTTCTATAAATATGTTGCACATCAGGATACAAGAATGTGATCTGAAGAGATGAAAGGCATTGCCTTTCATCAATTTTGATAGGTACATCAATTATCAGCCTTTTAGGACCAGGGTAGCCGGGTAACAGTGATTCAGTGATTCACATAGTTATCATTTCACAGTTAAACCACTGCAGTGTATCTTACATGATACTGGCTATCCTTAAAGAAAAGCAGTTAGAATGAGAAACTGCAGTTAGTGGCATTCTTCTCACTTGTATTTTGACTTAAGTAAAACCCTGATTGTTTTATTAATATCTGTGCTTATTGAAATATTTCAGTTTATGATTTAAAAAATAATACTGAATGTCCAAGGATCAAATGCAGCATTTCCCAACCTTGACACTTTAAGATGTGTGGACTTCATACAGTATTTCAGAGTTCTCCAGCCAGCATGAAGTCTCCTTCCAGAATGTTGAACGGGAAATTGTGGCAATTGAAGTCCACACATCTTAAGATTGATTAGACTGAGAAACACTCTTCTAATAGAACTACTTGGCTTCCAAGTAGGACTTCCAAGTAGAAATCCCACCCCTTCAAGCCTGCGTTTTGGCCTGCAAACTGCCAGGCGAGGCCTGCACAAGCCTAAACAGAGCGTCAGAGAGATGGACTCACACCTCCTAACCTCCATGTTGGCTGGCAAAGTGCAGGACAAATGTTGCAGAGTCTCTGCAGTTGTTTGTAAGGGGAAACAACTACCATGGTGCTACAAGATCCATAGGTTCGGGACTTGTATGTAAACACTAGGGGACGCTGATTGCATAACCTTGAACGTTTGCTAAGGGAACGATTGTAACCCTGGGATGACCTGTAGTCACAACTTTTTCAAGTAATAGTCGCCTGAAAGAAGAAAAAGGAGTGATAAATACCTTGGATCTCTGTACAATAGATGTCCCCGTGTTGCTTTTTGCTTCCTAAATAAAGGAGGGAGAGGGAAAATAAAAATTAATGTTCTTCTTACATAGCAAATCTTATTTAGAGATTTGAATACAAACTGCAGTTTACTTGTGTTATATTTGCTGATATGCTGATTTACTAGCAAACTAGTACTTTTCTTGAACTCTTTCTTTAGTTGTTTGAATATTGTTAATCAATCTAGAACAATAGTAATGCAAGAAAAAAAGATTCAGAAACATCAGAGAGACGTTCTATTGCTTTATAAAATATGGGGAAAAATAGGGAAAAAGACTACTATATCCACAAGTTACAATGTGGAAGAATATATTCAGGTGAATCTGTACAATCCAGTGATGGGTTGCAGATGGTACGCCCCGGCACGGGTGTACTGGAGCCTGCCCGGAGAACCGGGTACCATTCCGGTACTGTGTTCCGGAGGACCCACGCACCCGCCCAAGCTCCTTACCTGTCCTTTAAAAGCCTTCAGCGCCTTCGTGCACGTGCATGGCACATACAGCACCTGCGCAATGCTCTGCAGAGCAGCTGGAGCATCACAGAGGCTTGCAAAGGTGTTGCTGTCAGGTACGATGCATGCGCACATCACAGTTCCATGTGGACAACGCCGTACCGGTTGGAACGGGATCCAGAACCCACCACTGGTACAATCACATTATCTTCAAATGAATTGTTTGCAAATATCTCAACAAAATACATGGAATGAAATAGATACAGTCCCTGTGATATTTTCTGTATAGTGTTCTGATGCAACTCTTTTTGTGTGACAATGGATGGTCACACAAAAAGAGTTGCATTAGGAACACTATATAGCAGGGAGAGAACCCACTGCAGTACCCAGCAAGCCAAGCAGCTGGAGATCAGGTACCTACATTAAGAATTCCAGCAGACTGGGGTATCCATAACCATTTGTCACAAAATGTCTGCCCAACACAGTGGAGAGAGAAAGGAAGAAATAAGGCACATGACCGACCACATGGCACACCTTGCCATACATCAAAAGCATTTTGGAAGCTGTAGAATGCAGTTTCCGAGATCTGCATGTGGGCATCACACACCACCCAAAGGCTATCATCCGAGGACAAATTATGCATTGCAGAGATTGCTTGGAGGTGGAATATACTTCCAATGTAATCTACCAAATCCCCTGCATGGATTACCTCTGTGACTATGTAGGACAGACTGAGACGAAGCTAACCACCAGAGTGTAAGAATACAAGCAAGTGGTCAGATGGAGAGAGACCCAAACCCATTGGTAGCCTCACACTGCAATGAAGAGTTCAAAATTGAATGTATGTCCTTGTTCAATTTTGCTACTAAGACTGTTGGACGAGCAGGCACAGAGACAGCCAGGGAAGTGATTGAAGCCTGGGAAATAGGCTCCTTGTCAGTCAACAAGGGTGTTAATTTACCACCAGCCTATCAAATACTTAGAAGGCGAGGGCTGAGCAGCACAAGCAAATGACAGCTAATGACTTAAAAGCCAGCCATCAGTACACCCCAATCAACATCTAAAAAGCCACTTACAACAAGCATTATAAATAACACAAACAAAACAGCACACATTCTGCTGGAGAGAAGTTCCCTGAAGATGGGCTCCTGCATGAGTCCGAAATCTCGGAAGACAAAAACCTCTCTGGTCACAGTGACCAACCCAGATTTAATTCTGTATTTTTCTTTCTTTATACCTATATTCCTCCCAATGAGAAAAGTATTTTCTTCAATAGATTCTATACATTAAGTTTTCCACCGTGATGAACATGTTATTATTTAAAGTACCAAGATAAAAATAACATAAATTTGCTTGGTTCATATATAGTGCTAAGTGGAAAGTACATCAATAGCATTGCAACTTATTGCTAAATGCAATCTCAGCCATTGGTGTAATATTCCTGTCTGAAAAGCATGATTTAAACAAATGATATGGCCCAATGTACAAACAATATTATTTCCCCATTTATTTCCTCCTTATGAAGTAGCAGTAACACTTTAAAGATACTGATTTCTGTACGTACATTAGAAGAGGCTGTACTGGATTGTCCCTTAGCTTGGAACATTGTGCTCTATTCTCACCCACACAGGCTTATATCTTCACTTGTTTGGGCTGGCTAATTCTTCAATGTGGATATGGCTTATACCTGAGGAGAAAAAAAAATTAAGTCGAGAATATTAGAATATTATTCTACAACACTCGAATATTTCTCAGCTTTCTGAAATGTAAATTCCAGATAACCAAAACATCATGCACAAATACTGCTAGTATACGCATAGACTATTTTATTGTACTTCATTTCCTTTTCAGACTAATTGCAGATCAAGAGATTAAAAAAAAACACAATTCTGAATGCAATCTCATATATATTAGAAATGTGTTAAGATGGCATTATTTTTAATATATTTGCAAACAGCCATATGAACATATTTATCTCAGTATGCAACTTATCTATTTTAATACATATATTTTACAAAAACTATTCTTGAAATAGTAGCTATCAATTTAATTTAATAATAAATATAACTTAACAAAATAAATTAGTGTACCTATGTTCTTTAAATCTCTAATATATAAGATACGTATGTATGCGGGGGAAGTTGTACATGTGTATTAGAGAGATTCACATTTTCCCCTAAAGCTCAGAGCTGAAGAAGCTTCTTGGATGAGAAGCTAAATATCTTGAAAGAAAACAAGAAAGTCCAATTGCCTCTTGAAAAAGCACCTTTGGGACAACCATGACCGGGATGACTGAGAATTTCCATAGACAATTCTCCCCTAAGTTTTCCTTCTTTCTCCCCAGAAAAATAAAATTGTTGGATTCTCCTACCCAGTTTCAATCCGTTTATGTCTTCACTGCCACTTGAATCTCTGCTGTTCATGTACATTTACACTTGTTAGAACATTCTTGCCTCTTGGTTCTACAAAGCCTGTGTGCTGCTTAAGAAATGGCCCTGATTCATTTCCGTTCCCCTTTGTGGTTAGCTTGTTATTTCCTGCTTTCTCCATTTAAGGACATGCCAGGTACCCATAAGAGGGTTAAAATTTTCATATTAGATACTAGAGCCATATAAGCAAAGGGCAAAATGTCTCCCCCCCCCCCCAATTTGACATGCTTGAATTCACACCAAGGCAACCATTGCAAGTTATTTGGTCATTGACACTACTTTTAGAACTATTTTGAAAACTGACAGTGCATCAGGAATCATGTTTTCTAAAATAAAGCAAAATGATAATTTTATTATAAACAATCACTTGGGGTCTGATAGAGAGTGTACTGGGAAATTGAAATGATTTGATGCTACTTTGTCATTGTTTTGAGTCCTGATGTCAAATTTGTCTCCATTAATTCTTTTGTGCAAAGTTTTTTGTAGTACAATGTAGAACAAAGTTTGTCCTACATAGAATCCAGAAAAGTGCTGCTAGCAACTGACTTATATCATCTTGGATAAAAAGAATTTAAAGGTATCTCTAATCTTGTATATATTTTTGTTGGGGGTGTATGGTGTTGCTCTTGGTGTAGATATGGGGCAACACAAGGACACATTAGTATAAAGCAATCCTGTCTTCCAAGATATTCTCAACATACTGTTTTGGAAAAACTAGACTTCATGTCCATTGTTGAACAAGAGATTGCTAAACTCAAATACATCCAAAGGTTTCATGCAATATCACATGGTCTCAACACACACAATCAGTTTTTAACTCATTATAATTATTGATTGACAAGGGATTGCGTAACCAACTTGTCTTTCCCTCCTTTCTCTCTCCATCTTATCCCAATTTAACTTATCATTTCAATTAATTTATTCATCTGAAGTAAGGTTCACGTGTCTTTTAATAAAATATATTAGTTTAATAAGGTGCTGACCAACTTCTTCTGATATCAGGAAGATGTATGTCTATACATTGCCAATAAACAAACAAACCAGATTCAGAGATGGCAGAGAGACAAGAAAACTGAGATAAGGATGGGAAAGGAGTCACAAAACAATTAAAGAATACAGTACAACAAATAAGCACTGGTTCTAAACCCACCTCTATGGTTTTATTATATTAAAAATGTTTATTTATTAAATTTATATGTTGCCCAACTAAATGCTACTTTCACCATAACTAGAAGAAAGGTGGAAAGATACAGAAATACTGGTCAAAATCCAGGTATAGCTATACTAATAGCACAACAGATACTAATGGATGAATATAATTTGGTTTTACATATATAGGAAAGGAAATTCAATAAAAATCAAATACAAATAAAATGAATTTTATTACTTTGTTTGTCCTAAACATATTAGATGTTGAGACTCTAGAACTGGGGTGTTAAACTCAAGGTCTGCAGGCTGGATCCAGTAACAACAAGGTAATGCCCTACTCCTTTTTAACATACATTGCCAAATTCACATTGACTTAAAACTGCCAGGGTTTCAGTCACTCATTAACTACTACTATGGACTTCCTAGGAATGTAATTACATATCTAGTTATCAAGAACTCAGAGACATTTGTGTGATTCTGATGAAGGGTGTGGGGTGTTGTTTTTTGTATATAGCCGGAATTTACATATCTTAAATTTTTCAGTCTTAGTTAGAAGTTAGATAATTATGGTAGATAAAATTGAGTTTAATTGCTCTTTTCCATGTTCTAGATTTCTAACCACTAAATTTTATAGTTACTGGCAACAATTTCATATATAATAATATATGGACAAATAGTCTTTTTTCCATGATCTGTTCCTGAGTGTCAATTTTTCTCCAATTAGAGTTCATGGAGAACTTGGGCAAACAGGTAGCTATTTGTCTGTGTATTTGTACCGGTATCTACGTAAGTGTGTGTGTGTGTGTGTGTGTGTGTGTGTGTGTGCACAGTGTGATACTTCACTTTCATTTGATACACTTGAATTTCAAATTGGACCTTCCAATTTATATAATTGGGATGGTCTGAATGAGGTTTCTATTAAAAGAAGTTCATTGTCCTAGGTGGCTTTAGCCCCAGATATAAAGGCATTCAATTTTGATAATAGTGATTGAAAGTTTTCTTCTTTATTAGAAATTATTCACTTTCTGTTGAACTCTTTGAATTCCTAGCTTTTGTTATAACATTAAAGTATCAAAATCCAGATTGCATTATTAATTAAGACATTGTGTAGGTAGTCCTTATTTAGGGACTGCCTCAAAGAATGGGAATTTGCAGTTATAATGGTGATGAAAAAGTAACTTTGCAACCAATCTTTATTATTTACTTAGAACTGCAGGAAAAAAAAAATACTGCCAACCTGCCTTCCATTGAGGACCTGTATATTGCACAAGTCAAAAAGAGGGCCGTGAAAATGTTTACAGACCTCTCGCACCCTGGAAATAAATTGTTTCAGCTCCTACCCTCAAAACGATGCAATAGAACACTGCATACCAAGACCAAAAGAAGTTTTTCCCCCAAACGCTTTCACTCTGCTAAACAAATAATTCCCTCACCAATGTCAAACTATTCACTAAGGCTGCGTTACTATTACTATTAGTCTTCTCATCATTCCTATCATCTATCTCCTCCCACTTATGACTGTAACTTTGTTGCTTGCATCCTTACAATTTATATTTATATTGATTATTTCCTGATTGTTTATTTGTACCTTATGACAATCATTAAGTATTGTACCTTATGATTCTTGATGAACGTGTCTTTTTATGTACACTGAGAGCATATTCACCAAAGACAAATTCCTTGAGTGTCCAATCACACTTGGCCAATAAAGAATTATAATCTATTCTATATTTACTATCTTTGCAAGTCAGTAAAGCAAAGGGAAGTTGAAATAAATTCATAAGCAATCACAGTTTCACTTAACAATGGAGTTGCTTAACAACGCCCGTTCCAATTATAGTCACTAACTGAGTGATCAGTATGAGAATGTGTGCTGCCATCAGCCTCTTTCATTTTCTCTTTTCTCCATTAAGTAAGGGGAGGCAACAATTTCATTATCACAGTTTTTCTAGAACTTAAGGCACAAAATTACAAGTTCCTATTACATATCTCTACTTGATATAGATACTGGATAATCAAAATAATTTATGTTCCTCGCTAGCTAAGATTCTTTTTATGCCCTTTTCAAGGGTTTTTTCTTCACCTCCACCACATAGTACTGTGGAAAAGCTTAAATCCAAATGGTGTTCCTAACAACAAGAATATACTAGCTGAATTCCCTAATCTAGCATTCTTATCATGTATAGGTTTACAATACCCTCAATTGACTAGTTCATACAACAATATTGTATTGTATATATACTAACAAATAAGCTACCCAAAATATATTCAAAAATACACCCACAAAATTGGGTTCAGGTTATCTGTGGACCAAAGTTCAGGTTTTTTTAAAGCCCATCACAGCCTTAAAATTATGTGGGTTTTTTTTATAAATTACAACAATTACAATTTGCAGTTTTCCACCTGTTGCTATGGCTAAAAATTCAAAATTCGGCTTACCCATGGGAGGTATATTTTTTCATGGTACTTTGGTTGAAGTGAGGGCCAATTTATCTGCAGATACGCCTATCCAAAATAATATATGGTAACTACTTTCTATCAATAGTTTATAAGATGAGTGCCCATCGACACATTGCTGAATAGATTACAATGTCCAGCAAACAATTTTCCCCTGTGAATATTCATGACATAGTATCTCTAGTGACTTGAGTCAGGGAAGACTTTCCAGGCTAAAACTTGACTGGAGTGAAAGCTAACCTTTCACAAGGACCCTATTTCCACTGGGATAATCTCTTTGGCAGGAATCCCTTTTCTGGTCAATTTTTGGCAGAGGAACATTTTTTGCTGAATGAAAGGCTAAAGAGGAACTGTCAGCTTAGCTGTTATATGATAACTTGCCCAAAAGCTATTATTCTGACTCTCTAGCCTTTGAATAAATGGCTAGAGAGTTGCCTGAAAAGATAAAAACATTTACAAGTAAAGGATTACAATTCCAAATAAATGGTACAAGATAAATCATTCAGAAGCAATGAAAAGCTGGACTATATACCAAGGGAGCAGAAGAAATATCTGATTATCAAAGATATTACTACTAAAGTACATTCTTCTAACAGAAGAAAGAGTTATTGGAAAAAACACAGTGCAGAGAAGAACTTTGCTGTTTCCTCTATTTTTTCACTTTTATTGTCAACAGAGAATTTGACTTTTCTTCATAAGAACTGTTTTGCATATTCTTAATCTCTAGACAAATAGCCTGTTCTAAACAAAAGCCAACTAAATGTAACTGAAATAGGCATACCTCACCTAAATAAAGTTCACAAACTAATGAAGCTGCTCCTTGTTTGCACTAAGCATTCAGGCCATTTGGTTATTACATAATCTAAATAAAGCAATAGCTAAAGATAAACCAGAGCTCCTTCATTGGCTTCATCAGTGATATTATTCATAGCGACTGCACCATTCACAATGATGTTCAAATGACAATTGTCGTAACTATTGTGATTATGTTCTTGAACTCTGATAGCTGATGTCATGGGGCTTACATCATGACATATTGCATCATTTGTTCTCCTTTCCTTTTCTGTGGATGCTCATAATGTTGCAAGACATCCCAAGGGAGCCAGCAAAGAGTGCAACGTTTCAGAATTTCTTTAAAATTAAACTAACTCAGGGTGAATTCCAGAATCCCATTCAAAGCCTCAGAAATTAGAGCCCTTTATTCTACAATTTTTTGAATATTTTGTCATAGAGAAAAAAGTTAGTACTTCTAAGCATCAACACCAAGGCTCCTCAAACTACGACCCATGGGCCACATACAGCCCACTGAAGCCATTAATCCAACCCACACAGGACCATGAGGCTGCCTCCTCCACATTGCCCCACCCACTCGCTGGCCCCACCCTTCAGCAAAGCACATAACTTATCT